AATCTGTACCTTGACCAGGAGGCTGTCGTTCGAACAGAACAAGGGGACACTACATGGTTTAAAATCAAGAAGGGAGTGCATCAGGGTTGTATCCTTTCATTAGCCATTACAGAGATACAAATCAAACCAACAATGTGTTATTATTTCACTGCAGCATTAATAACCAAGTTCAAAAAAACAGAAGTCAACAAATCTGGCAAAGGTGTGGAGAGATTGGAAGCCTCACACACTACTGGTGCAATTGTAAAATGTTACAATCACTATGGAAGGTGGTAGGGTACTTCCTTAAAAAGCTAGAAATAGAAATACCATATGATCCAGCATTCAATTGTGTGGATCTTAACAAATTGTGGTTAACACTGAGAAGAATGGGAATTCCAGAACACCTGATTATGCTCATCAGGGACTTGTACATAGAGCAGGAGGCTGTTATTCAAACAGAACAAGGTGATACTGCATGGTTTAAAATCAGTAAGGGACTGCGTCAGAGTTGTATCCTTTCACCATACTTATTCAGTCTGTATGCTGAGCAAATAATCCGGGAAGCTGGGCTATATGAAAAAGAATGTGGCATTAGGATTGGAAGAAGACTCATTAACAACCTGTGATATATGGACAAGACAGCTTTGTTTGCTGAAAGTGAAGTTGACTTGAAGCACTTAATGATGAAGATTAAAGACACAGTCTGCAGTATGAATTGCATCTCAACATAAAGAAAACAAACATCCTTACAACTGGACCAATAAGCAGCATCACAATAAATGGAGAAAAGATTGAGGTTGCTAAAGATTTCATATTCCTTATTCCACAATCAACACCAATGGAAACAACAGTCAAGACATCAGATGGCATTATTGCACTGAGCAAATCTGCTGCAAAAAACCTCTTTATTTTATTATTTTTTTTTAATTTTATTTTATTTATTGTGATTTGGGTGAAGATTTACAGAGTAAATTCACTTTCCATACAGCAGTTCACATATACTTTGTCTCATCAAAAGACCTCTTTAAAGTGCTGAAGGGCAAAGATGTCTCTTTGAAGACAAAGGTTCGCCTAACCCAAGCCAGGGTATTTTCAGTTGCCTCAAATGCATGTGAAAGCTGGACAATGAACAAGGAAGACAGAAGAAGAGTTGATGCTTTTGAATTTCAGCGTTGGTGAAGAATAATGAAAGTGCTATGGACTGCAAAAAGAACTAACAAATCTGTCCTGGAATAAGTACAGCCAGAATGCTCCTTGGAAGTAAGAACGGCTAGACTTGGTCTCACCTACTGTGGAGGGTCAACAAAAAAGAGGAAGGCTTTCAACGAGATAGACTGACACAATGGCTGCAACAATGGACTCAGGTATGGCAAGGACTGTAAAGCTGGCACAGGACTGGTCAGTGTTTTGTTCTGTTGTTCACAGGGTCCCTATGAGTCAGAACTGACTTAACAGCACCTAACAAGAACAACAACATGGTCCAGCAATCCCACTATTAGATATATATCCTCAAGAAATAAGAGAGACATGATGTGAACAGATATATGCACACCCATGTTCATCACAGCACTGTTCACAATATCAAAAAGGTGGAACCAACCTATGTGCCCATCAATGGAAGAATAGATAAACAAATTATGGTACATACACAGAATGGGATACTACAAAACATTAAAGAATAATCAATCTGCAAAACATCTCATAACATGGATGAACATAGAGGACATTATGCTGAGTGAAATTAGTCAATCACAAAAGGACAAATACTGTATGAAACCATTACTATAAAAAGTTAAGAAAATGTTTTACACACATAAAGAATTGTTCCTTGAAGGATATCCGGGGTGGGAGAGGAATAGAGGGAAAACCACTAACTAGAAGGTAGAAATGTATTAATGGGTAACAAGAAAGGCAATATAAATAAGGGAGAGATTAGCACAGAATGATCAAGGCAGTGAAAGATAAACAGAGCAGCACAAGAAGTAAAGGCTACAAAGGTTAATATTATTACATACACAATCCTGCAATAAAAGTAATAACAATAACTTATGAGTGGATACATGGAACAGCAATTTTTGAGTGGATACATGGATAGACACTCAATCTGAAGAGGGGTAGGAAAATGAATGGGACTACACCACAAATATATATAGCTTTCAGAGAGGCTATCTTTACGTATGTATTTATATATTCTGCAAATATATCCACAAATGTAGTATGGCATACAGGGACAAAGTTATGAAAACATCATAGTCATAACCAAACATCTTAAGGGAGTGAGTCACTAGTTATTGAGGCTCAGGAACATAGTATTTGGGGACAGTAAGGTCAATTAGTCCACAAAGACAACGTTCTACATCTTATTTTGGTGAGTAGCAACTGGGATCGTACAAGCTTGAGGGTGGCCATGTAAGGTGCAACTATTGGTCCTTTCCCATTTGGAGCAAAGCAGAGTGAAAAAATCAAAGACACAAGGAAATTAATCTAAAGGATTAATGGACCACCCCAGCCTCCATGAACCTGAGACTAGAAGAACTAGATGGTGCCTGGCTACCACCGTTGACTGCTCTGAAAGGGATCACAATAGGAAATCCCAGATAGAGTGCAGGGAAATGTGGAACAAAACTCAAGATCATTAAAAAAAAAACAGGCTTACTGGTCTTATGAAAGCTGGTGGAACCTCCAAGACTATGGCTCTTAGGCACTCGCCAAGCTAGGAACTGAACTTAACCTCTGTGACTCAACTGACAGCCAAATGATAGCTAGAACTACAAGGTGAACAGTAAGTAATGTTAAGCATATGAGATCAAGAGAACATCATTTGCCCAGGGATATAGCTAGGAAGGTGGGAGGGGATGGGAAGGAAAGACAAAGGAAAGCAGTGGGTGCAAGAAAGAAGAAGGAAGAATGCTGTTACCATGTGGGGATTGCAGTAAATGTCACAAAACAGAATCTATATGGATTGCTGAATGGAAAAACCAATTTGTACTACAAACTTTCACCAAAATCACAATTAAGAAAAAAATTTTAATGAAACTTACAATGATAATAAAAAAGAAAAGGAAATGACAAAGACTATAAATCCAAGAAACAGATGCAGTGAAACGGCTAAAGCATTTCTATTCCCTAGTCTAACAAAACAATGTCTGCCCTTTCACTATCAGTGAGGTTTGTTTTATTGAGTTTGGTTTTTGAATTCTCACCAAAAGTGGTATCCAAGAGAACCTGCTTCTGTCAGAAGTGATTTTGTTCCCATATAAATATTTCTAATGAACAATAATATCAGATATTAGGACAGCCAAAGGATTTATAATGACAGTTCTAATGAACATAATTGGCTTGATTAAAATTATCCCCTTACCTCGTAGGTTGCAAGTCGATCTAAGTAGGTTAATAATTTCAGTCTACAACGGCAAAGTTCCTTTTGTTCCAGTGTTAACCTGTTTTGGAAAAGTATATTAGGTAATTATATTTATATAAAGCCTGTTTCTCCAGGAGTTAAAACAGAACAAAAATGATTAATATTCCATTGAGCCCAAAATTTGCAGAACAGCACCCAAAACCACAAAGGAAGAATAATAGAAAATGTATTTGATTGAAGTTGATGAAATAATTAAAACACTTATTACTAGTAAAGGACACACTGAAATGACAAGTAATTTGAAAGAAATCATTTTTCTAAATGAGTAACAAAAATAATTTACTTTGAAAAGTCCACTAATTTAAGTAGTTCATGTCTCTTCATGAGCTCCTTTTCCTTTTTGCTCTTGGCAGGCTCTTCTTCATCAGGTGAAAGCTCCTCATAGGAGATGCTGTCAATGTCTACTTCACCAGGTAATGTAAATCTGCAAGAAAAAAACAAAATCAAAATCAATTTAATAGACTAATTGTTTAAGTCCATGAAATAAGAAGTTTATTTCCCCTTTTTGACTGATTTTATTATCAAAGTGATTTCTACAGATACTGAAACAACTAATTGGAAAGAATACTTTTCTCTGTTACAAGCAGTTATTACATCCACAAAATGGGCAAAGAGGTATCAGTAATCATCAAATATAGAAATGAAAAAAATCCAGAAAATAAACCTATTTAGGAAAAAATGAAGTTATATATTCACCCAATGTAAAGTAGCCAATGAAGAAACTGTTGCCAACAGAATTTAATATATGAATCACTTCTACTTAAGGTCTTAAAGCAGTAATAAATGTCAATTTCATTTAGATTATTTATCAGATATATATACAGGAGCTCTGGTAGCATAGTGGCTAAAGCACTTGACTGCTAACCAGAAGGTTGGTGGTTCAAACCCACCAGCCACTCCTCAGAAGGAAGGTTGGGCAATCCTACTTCCATAGTGTTACTGCCTCGAAACCCAAGGAGGGGTCGCTATGAGTCAGGGCCGACTCGACGGCACATAACAACAACAACAACAACAAATTGTCATATATTTCAAAAGAAGCTCCAAATGTCCAGTGAGCAATGCCTCTTGTCGAATAACTACTATTATTACTAACTGGCATTTGTATGGTGCTTAAAAGTTTATGAGGTGCTTTCCCAAGACTCAAAGGAAGACTGGGCAATTTATTTCTGCAGAGATACCACCTCAGAAACCCAAGAGGGATCACTATGAGTCTGAATTGACTAGACGCCAGTGAGTTTGGTTTTTGGTTTTTTCCCCAAGATACATAATTTAATCGCTCACAGTAATTCTGTGGAGGAGGGACAGAATTACAGATGAGTAAAGTGAAGCTTAAACTTGCCAAAGCTCATTCATTTCATTAGTAAGCAAACCCAACTACCTGCCTTAAGCCCAGAGCTTAGAAATGGCCAGCATTTAACAGGAGTTCGTAGAATCTGATCTGTTCTCAATATCAAGCTATCGTATGCAGACATATCTAACTTACAAGAAAGATTGTTATGACCTCCAATAAGGATGCATTGATCAAAAGCAATGGCTTCCTAATAGAATAACATAAATACACAAACATTTACTTTTTCCAGTGTTTCATCTTAAAAGTTTTCACACTCACACTTGCTTTAGAATACAAATCTTTCTGTAACCAACCTGCCATCATCTACTCCTTTCCCTATTCCTACAAGAGCCTCCAGGTCGGTGCCTTTTAATCCATACTGAAGTAGTTCTTTCACAGCATCCACATTTTCAGGAACTCTTTCCAAACACTCATGAAGAACCCATGACCGTTTCTTTATTTTACTCTAGATACAAAGAAAATGAAAAACAGAGGCATTAAAAAACCCATGACATCTTACAACACCTGACTTCCAGAACTATAAAACTATACCTGAAGTATTAGTTACTTAATATTTGGACACAGGTAGCTGCTCAAGAAGCATAACCTGAAAAAGCTACCTCGCTAATGCCAATTAGAATTGGATGTGTGGAATATGATGGCAACTGTTCTCTTTTTTCTTCTAATGAGCCACACTGAAACAAAGCTCAGTACTTTTCTTTGGAGATGAAAAAAGATCTGTCCAACATTTTATAGTGGTCCTTGGTTTGCAACTTGAATGTATAACAGAGTACAAAATAAAGAAGGGAAGATATGATATATCTAATTGTAACAAGAATTTACGACTTAGTGTTTGACTTTGAATCAAAACTAATGAGGCATAGTACATCAAGGTTCTCTATTTACTTGACCATGAGATGTATTTCACAGTGTGGATGATAACCTAATCACAAAAAAAGCCATAGTGTCCTGCTCCTTGGAAAGCTCAAGGTTCTATTATTCCCTCTCAACTATATTCAAAATCCCTGACTTGGCCTCTTCTTTTATGCTTACAAATTTAAAGTAGAATTTGACTCATCTTCTATATTCATTTACATATTTCATTGTACCAATTCTTTCTTCAAATCACTCTTACATTCATCCCCCTTTTCCATACTTATGGCCTCCTACCAGTTGAAATCATCAGCATGTTATACCTGGGACATGGTAGGAGTCCCCTGCCCCTAGCAGGGTTTCCCCTTCACCTTTCTCTTTCCATTCCAGGTCATCTTCTACACCATCTTCTTCTGTCATGCCACAGTCAAAAATCCACAACAGCTCTCCATTATCCAAAAGACTTAAAAAAAGGCTTCAATGTCTTCTCAATATTTTTCTATCATACTTTCCAATATTCACTATTATCGAATGTCAGCTCCAGGAGACTGGTTTACTTATGGATGATATTTATTCATTAAAGAAATATTTACTGAGTATCTATTTTGTGCCAGGCACTGAACTTGACATAATAAAGCAGTGAACATAAGACAGATGTAGTTGATGGCTTCATGATCAATGCTTTTTTTTTTTCCCCTCCTTCAATTTTCTTATACCATTTGTCCTACATTTAAGAATGCCTTCCTTACTTCTAATTCTAGAAGATGTACTTTAAATCTTTTCCAATCCATACGCAAACCTATTCACTGTATAGAGCCTCCTATATTCACTGTGTCTTTTCAGTAAGATTGTAGGTTCTCTAAAAGCAAAGGCCATATTTATGCCTCTCCTATACCTCTTCACAGGAGCTCTGGTAGCATTGTGCCTAAGGCACTTGAGTGTTAACCAGAAGGCTGGCAGTTCAAACCCACCAGCCACTCTTCGGAAGGAAGGTTGGGCAATCTACTTCCATAGTGATACCTCCTCAGAAACCCAAGGAGGGGTCACTGTGAGTCGGGTCCAACTCCACGGGACATAACAACAATAACAACATACCCCTTTGCTGTCTCTAGGATAGCTTTTCTCTTTTGTTCTTAATGCTTACCTACATGTTTATGTATCTGAATTAAATATTTTCCCAATAAAATTTTACTTGCTTTGCCTCTCCTAACATTTGTAAGTTCCTAAGGAACCAAGACTGTCCTCTACTATCATGCACCCAGAAAATGTCAACACATATGAGTAAGTGTGAACATACGTTCTCATGGTCTCAAGTCACAAATGCAAAAAAAGAAACATAATACAGGATTGTTGTTCTGATTTCCTGAGGAAATTCAAGCAACTTTCTCTTCCTTTATCTCTGATATCTTACCTATAGAAATAATCTATCGTTCTGTTTGGTTGAAACATATTTTTCCATACATATTTTCCAGAGTATGTTTTTCATTTATTTTAAATTATCTGTGGACATAAATTTGTAGCTAAAATAATTATCATGGAGTTTCCCCAGTATTTCTTAGAATATTCCTAAGAGTAAAAGGCATTTTCCTTTCAAAAGGTCAGATCAAAAGACACATATTTTTAAAAGCTTTCCATCAATCCAACTAATTAATCCCTCTCAAAAACTCAAGGGTCAAAACATATAAGCTATATAATAACTTAACTATGGAAGACAGGTATAAGGAAGGGCACAGTTGTGGGATTTAAACAGAAAAGGGGAATTTCATAAATTTAATGTGCCAGTTACATATTTTTTGCCTCTCAACTCTAAATCTACCCTTCTAACCATGCTTTGGAGCTCTGGTAGTACAATGGTTAAAGCATCTGACTGCTAACCAAAAGGCTGGTGGTTTGAACCCACCAGTCACTCCAAAGGAGATGAGGCAGTCTGCTTCTGTAAAGATTTACAGCCTTGGAAACTCTACGGGGCAGCTCTACTCTCTTCTATAGGGCTGCTATGAGTCAGAATTGGCAGTGGGGTTTTAACCCTGACTTGCAGTAACATTTTTCCTTTGTAACTAACACAAAATAAAGCTTGTCAACAGAGGGTGCTAAAGAACCACTGAAGAAGAAAAGGTCCCCACTTCTGGTCCTGGTATGCTTTGATTCTTTTCTTCTTGCTTCATTACAGCCAGCGATGTAGACAGAGGACATACAGTGATGTTCACTACCCCCTTCCTATCACTGTGAAAACTGCCCATTGAGTTTCAGTGTCACTCCTATGGACAGATTTCCAGTGATCACCCAGGCACCAAAGTTTGTCAGCTGGCAACTATAGACTAACAACTGTGGCCTGACACAACACAGAGAGCTTCTCCACCCAAAGGGCTGCTATCACACCTTCTCCAATGAGTTCTGAATCCAGCCTTGGAGAGGAGGGCCTTCAACCCTTCTAAGGTTATTTCTTTCAGCACTTCATCAGAAATATGATAGATAGAAGGTGGATTGTCCAGTATAACAGCAAAACCAGCATGACTCTTAGTACTCTCCTTCAGGCTGAACATATTCTTTAGAGTTCTCTTTATCACTTTATAGCCACTCCCTTATGACTAGGTAATAATTCTCTGTATCAAAACTTTCCCTGTTGAAATTACTATACAGTTCCTGGCACATAATTGTACCCTGATATTGGTGAAAGAGCTATCTGAGGGGATGCTAGGCCAAAAAAAGCAGGTTCTGGTTTATTGGTGAGTATTTATTTGCTCACATGTCTTCAGCTTCAAATTCCAGGTGCAGAGGCAATAGAATCTGATAACAAGACAATTTTTCCAGTTCAGTAAACTCCATTTCTTCAGGTATAGAAAAGTCAGCAATGTAAAATGCCCTAAAATGAAGGCCTATAACCAAAATATATACCATGCATTTGAATTTTACCACATTATCAAAATACTTAGACATACCAAGTAATTCTGAATTGAAGCAATGTTGACTGCTGACTTCCTCCACTGCCTCTGATATACTAGATCAGTATCCAGGCCATAGGTATAAGCCAGAGACAAGGCTTCCTCATATTCTTCACTTTCAATCTTTAGGCAATGAAATGGAAGCAAAAAATGTCACATTACTGAATTATTCACAGTTTCACTAAAAAGCAGTGATCCATGAAGAATTATAATCCTTTCACATGTTATGCATTACTAATTATTCTCATGTATGATGCAGAACCAGAAATTCACAAACATTTCTAGAGGCGGAGAGATCAGGTTATTTCTTTTAGCACTTCACCAGAAATATAAGCACTAGAAGGTGAACTGTCCTGTGTGACAGCAAAACCAGCTTGACTCTTAGTTCATGGGATCCTCCCATGACACTTCGGGAAGAGAACAAATAATTAGAACACAAGTTGTTGCTGTTGTTGTTGTTATGTACCATCGAGTCAGATCCCATTCATAGTGACCCCTCCTTGGGTTGCCGAGGCAGTATCACTACGGAAGTAGATTGCCC